TTTCACATTGAAAGGCAACAGCCCTTTGGTTAAGAAGCCTTAGAAGTCATATAACAAATGAAGTCACCCCGATCACTGGCTAATTTGTTTGCTTTGTCTAAGGAGGACAAAAACAAAAAGGAAAACTCAAAGAATGAAAAACAAAATAACGATTTCATGTATTTTGGCTGAATTCTCCTTCTCGGACTTGTATAAGCTCTTTGGCATTCACGCGGGAGATTACTCCCGGCCTGTGAAAGTTTTCTTACAGCCAAGTCTGCGCAGGAAACAAAACACTTTTTCATGGAGGGCAATTAGCTCAAAAACATCAAAAAAGAAGAGGGGGGTGGGGGAGGAGAGAGAAAAAAATCATTAATGTCCCAGGCAGCCTGTGAAATGAAAGGCCTTTGCTTGGGAGATGTGTCGACTTTGCTGTTTTCCATTGGAAAAAGCATCTCGATGTAGCATGATGCACCAGTCACCCTGACAGCCAACAGGCGAGGCAGACAAAGGACCGAGTCAGCTCGAGCAGTCTCAGTAAATTACTGGGTCAGGTTTGGGAGATGGGTCGCCAATGTCAGGATGGGGTCTCCCCGTTCACCAATTTCGAGTTCAAAGGTGACCCGCACGTTCAGAGGCACCGTGGAAAATGTGAAGGCTGAAAGGGATGGAGAGTGAGTCACAAACAAGACCGTATTCCCTCTACTGATCTGGAGAACCAGCTAATGCTTTTCACACCCCTCCCTCCTAGGGGTTAGTGGGTTAAAAAGATTAACCTCTACAAAAAGTTCAAAAAAAAAAAAAAAAAGAGAACAGTCCTCATTTTGTCCAGCTAATACTTTTCTTTTTTTTTGCAATTATGTCATTGGGATGAAAGAAATTAAAGGGCTCACACAAGAGGAATGCACAGTACTTGAACCTGTTGCCTTACATACACCATCCAAAATTTGAACTTCAAGTATGGATGAATGTTGCGGAACTAAAATTATGCAATACATATTTCCTTTCTATGCAGTATACATCCTATGTGGCCAGAGACAAGACCGTAGGATGATCCTCTGATTTTGGTTTCTCTCGAGTAGGGACCTCTAACCCCTCGTGTGCTGTTTGTTGTTGCTGTGCTGTTTCATGTATTGTCCCCCCCCTCTATTGTACAGCGCTGAGCAAAGCCTTTGGCGCTATATAAATTCGATGTAATAATAATAATAATTCTCTCCATGGCGGTTCCAATGCTTCTTCAAAGCTGCCCCAAGTTAGCAGCTAACAGACCTTCAGTGTGGTTTGGGCTGCAAGGTGTCCTCTCTTTAGCTTCTATAGTTACCATCTATGCAATGGACTTTTCGGTTATGGATGGACGCTGCTGAGCTAAAATTACTCAATGAATCTTTCTTTCCTTTGCAGTATACATACTATTTGACCAGAAACAAGACCCCCCCCACTGTGATTCCAATTATTCTTTAAAGGTTCCCAAAGTTAGCTCCTAACAGACTTCCAGTGTGGTTTTGGCTGCAAAGTGTCCTTTCCCTAGTCGCTATACTTACCATCTATGCCATGAACGTTTGGTTATGGATGAATGCTGAATGAAAATTACTCAGTGCATCTTTCCTTTCTTTGTAGTATACATCCTATTTTATCAGAAAAAAGATAATACTTGACCCACCCTCCCCCTCCCACCTCCTTCCCCTCCCCCCCCCCCCCCTTTTTTTTTCTCTTCTCTTCTCTTTCACTCCCCTCTATGCTTTCTATATCTTCTTCCATCTACAGCACTCTTCTCTCTTTTTCTCTTTTTTTCTCTCCTTTTGCCTCACATTCTTCTCTTATACAACTATTTCTAAACACAAGAAGAAACTTATCTTACCCGGATACAGAATCACACGATGTGTGCGCTTTAGACGCTAGTGCTGTCTATTGCTCCACTGCCCGATTGTCTGCGCGATTTCTGTCTATTGCTCCACTGCCCGATTGTCTGCGTGATTTCTGTCAATGTCTATTGCTCCACTGCCCGATTGTCTGCGCGATTTCTGTCTATTGCTCCACTGCCCGATTTCTACCCCTTACACTTACATCCTCTATACTTATATCGCTTACCATCCATATTCGATAATCTGTTGGTATAATTCGTTTACTGGGTAGCGTGTTCTCTTGTTTCTGTTTAATGTATACTTCAAATGCATGTCTGATTACCCGTCTGCGTCACGGGAGATTAAATCAGTTGTATGTTTGCGGACTGTGTTCCATATCTGCCTATGATCCAAAATGCCTTTTACTTCAATAAAAAGATTTTTTGGACAAAAAAAAAAAAAAAAAAAAAAAAAAGACTGCAGGGTGTCCCTCATTTGGGTTTCCCCACCACAACGGTTCCAATGCTTCTTCAAAGGTTCCCCAAGTTAGCTGCTCACAGACCTCCAGTATGGTTTGGGCTGCAAGGTGTCTTCTCCCTAGTCGCTATACGTACCATCTATGCCATGGACTTTTAGTTATGGATGGATGCTGTTGAACAAAAATTACTAAGTGCATCTTTCCTTTCTATGTCATATACATCCTATTTGGCCAGAAACAAAACCATAGGGTGCCCCTCATTTGAGTTTTCCCCACCACGATTCAAATGATTCTTCAAAAGTTCCCAAGTTAGCTGCCAGCAAACCTCCAGTATGGTTTGGACAGCAAGGTGTCTTCTCTCCAATGTCTATACTTACAATCTATGCTACATATGTCAGACACAAGGCCTGTAGGTCAAATACAGTCCTCCAGTCTCTGTCATGTGTCCTTCCCACTCAGTTTGCAGTATACATCTTATTACTACAGCTGGGCAAGGGTGTGTGTGTGTGTGAGGGTTGGTTTTGCACACTATGCAAAGCGCACCCTGCACTCTGTAAGTAGCACAACCCAGATACAACTAGTACTTTGAGGGCAACCATACCGATCTATGCTCAATGCATCTATCCTTTCTTTGAGGTACATATCCTTTTTGACCAGAAACACGACCGCAGGGTGCCCCTAATTTGGGTTTCCTCCATTGCGGTTCTAATGCTTTTTCAGGGTTCCCTAAGTTAGCTGCTAACAGACCTTTAGTGTGCATTAGGCTACAAGGTGTCCTCTCCCTAGACCAGTGGTCTCAAACTGCAGCCCAGAGGCCAGATGCGGCTCTTTGCTTGCTTTTATCTGGTCCTTCGGGCATTATTTAATCCACTGACATCAATGAATTCCTCCCAGTGATACCAACAATGGGGCACAATTACAACCAATGATACCAAGAATGGAGCCCAATGACACCATCGATGGGGCACAATTCCTCTCACCAACACCAAGATGGAGCATTGTTTATTCCCACTGATGCCGGAACATTTTCCAGTCTGGCCCCCCTAAAGTCTGAAGGACAGTAAACTGGCCCTTTACTTAGAAAGTTTGGAGACCCCTGCCCTAGACAATATACTATATCATCTATTCAGTGGACCTTTGGCTATGGATGGATGCTGCTGAACTATAACTACTCAGTACATCTTACCTTTTAGCATGCTATAGATTCTATTTGACCAGAAATAAGATCACAGGGTGGCTCCCTGATTTGGGTTTCATGCTCATTATTGTTCCGAGGGTACTGTGCCATGCTAGATGACTACTAGCAATGATCAGTAGAAACGTATATAGATGCCATGAATCTGCATGTTCTTCCTGTTTTCCTACATCTCTCACAGGTGGTGGAAGGAGTGAAAAGAATACCTCCAGTGCTTCCTGATGTAGTAAAAAGCAGTGGACAGCAGAGGATGGGGAACCAGCATGGAGTTGGAGCATCATAATAAGCAGCAGAAGAACTTTCCTTCTTACCCATTATACTGAAGCTGTTCAAATAATAATGAAAAAAAAAAAAAAACAAATCTGACATTTCACTTTTTTGTAGTTGATTGCAAAACAGTGTACCTTCCTGGGGTGTAAATGATTACATTCCCCCAGCAGAAAATGGAGTGATGGTGTCACACTCCCCAATCGATTCTCTTTATTGCAAGATTAACAAATGATTGGGAGGATTCAAGCCCCCTTCCCCTACATGTCTCTTATATAGACTGAAGAAGAGGGAGAAGAATTCTATGGGGAAATCTTACCACAGAAGTCCTCACGATATACTGCTAGTCAATGTACTGAAGCACGCCCAAATAGATTACTTACTCTATCCTTGTGAGCAAGCCCATTGGAGGTGGATCACGTATATGGAGTGTGGTTCTTTTGGTGGAGAAAATATGTTGGCAGCCTTTTTATGAACTATGAAACAAAACACCAAGACAAATGTACAATGGAGTGTGACTCTTACTTTTCAATATGCCCAAATATCAGTTACAGGTGGAGCCAGACTTGAAGACCCCATCCACATGGATACAAATCTACAGATAGTTTACTAAATAACACCTCGGGATGCAGTAACACTGTGTGCTATGGCGGCATACAAAGCAGCTGACTAGTGGTCAGTTTTGTGTGTAGCCAGAACTCTACAGAAATACATACACTCACCGGCTAGTTGTGGTCAGTTTTGTGTGTAGCCAGAACTCCGCAGAAACACATACACTCACCGGCCACTTTATCCGGTACACCTGTTCAATTGCTTGGCAACACAAATTGTTGATCAGCCAATCACATGGCGGCAACTTAATGCATTTAGGCATCTAGACACGGTGAGGACAACTTGCTCAAGTTCAAACCAAGCATCAGAATTGGGAAGAAAGGGGATTTAAGTGATTTTGAAGGTGGCATGGTTGTTGGTGTCAGATTGGCTGGTCTGAGTATTTCAAAAACTGCTGATCTAATGGGATTTTCACGCACAACCATCTCTAAGGTTTACAGAGAATCAGGGGCGGACTGACCATTCAAAGCAGTCTGCATGCCTAGGGGCTGATTTTATACACCTGTGGCCAAGGAGGTGATTGGAACACCTGAATCCAATGATTTGAAGGGCTGGCCCAACACTTTTGGCAATGTAATATATATACCAGGGGTGGACTGACCATTTGGAAACTCGGGCACTGCCCGAGGGCCCGGGGTCAGTAGGGGGCCCATGAAATACCCCTGTTACCTTTTTATATGCTTTTTTGAGTGTGGGCAAGGACACAGGGGCCCCATGATTACCTATTGCCCGGGGGGCCCAGTGAGTTGTCAGTCCGCCCCTACAGAGAATGGTCCGAAAAAGAGAAAATATCCAGTGAATGGCAGTTGTGTGGCTGTAAATACCTTGTTGATGTCAGAGGTCAGAGGAGAATGGGCAGACTGGTTCGAGATGATCGAAAGGCAACAGTAACTCATGTCAATATGGACCAAAATCTCCGAGGAATGATTCCAACACCTTGTTGAATCTATGCCATGAAGAATGAAGGCAGTTCTGAAGGCAAAGGGGGTCCAACCTGGTACTAGCAAGGTGTACCTAATAAAGTGAGTGTACGGTCTCCATTCAGTGTTGGTCTGAGGCTCTATTTGCATGTAACCACTCGATCATAACTTACGATCATATCTTAACTATTGATCAAAATCTATTTCCCATGTGTGGCATATTGATCCAATGGGTTGTCGACTAAAAGATTCTAACTAAAGAATCCTAACTAAAGATCATTTGGAAAATAAATTGATAAATAATCAATGGCCACCATAAAAAAGTAGATAGTTCAATATGATTGATAAGTGAATAGTGCATCAAACAATCTTTTGGATCTTCTGACCATATTTCCGATAGGAAATCTATTGAAAATACAATTGCATATAAAATCATTCCTTTTACAGTCACCATTAGAAACTGTAGAAGTTTTTTGTGTGTATCCTGGAGCTTGCCTTTAAAACCATGAAAGAAACTGAATAGCAGCTGCTGTTCCTGGTCATTAAATAAAGTTTTGTCATTTGACATCTGACACAGATCATTAATAGGAGGAATTCCCACCAAGTCAGGGCTAGCATCATCTTCTGTTCTATACAGCCAACATAACAGCTAAGGCAGGTGTAGGCAACCCTGGAGAACTGGGGATCTATCTGAACAACATGAAAGAAATCAAAGATCACCAGGGCCCAGCACATTCTTTTTCTCTTTTAAAGGTGATAACTTAGTATGGCCCATTAAAAGGTAATGTTTGAAGAGTTCAGAGGTCAGTAGTAACACGGAGTTTAGGAGTCAGTAGCAATGTAGAATTCTGAGGTCAGTAGTAAGTAATGCAGAGTTAAGGGGTCAGTAGTATGTAACACAAAGTTTAGGGGTCAGATGTAATGCAGACTGCAGGGGTAAGTAATGCAGAGTTCAGGATCACGTAGGGTAAGTAACAGGGAGTTCAGTCAGTGGAATGGGTGCAGGGTGTAGAAGTTAGTAGTAAGTAACACAGAGTTCTGAGGTCAGGAGTAAGAAAAGCAGAATACAGAAATGTAAGAGTAAATAATGCAGAGTGCACTGGTCAGGGGTAAGTAAAGCAGTGTGCAGAGCTCAGTAGTAACGTAGAGTGCAGAGGTCAGTTGTATGTATCACAGTGCAAGGTTGGGCGTAAGTAATGCAGACTTCAGAGGTCAGTAGTATGTAACACAGAGTGCAGGGGGTCAGAGGTAGGTAATGCACATTGCAGAGTTTAGTAATATGTAAGGCACAGCGCAAGGGTCAGGCATAAGCAATGCAGAGTAGGAGGTCATTAATATGCAAAGCACAGTACAATGGTCAGGAGTAAGTAATGCAGAGTGCAAGAGTCATATGTAAGTAACACAGACTTCAGAAGTATGTAACAGAGTGCAAGGGTCAGTAGTATGTAACGCACAGCGCGGAGGTCAGTAGCATGTAACACAGAATGCACATTTCAAAGATCGGTGCTGTTTTATGCGTGAGTGCTGTTTTTGATGGAGTGTAAAGAAGCAGTTGAACACAGCAGTCTAATCATGGCTTCCCTGCTTTTTACAGGTAAATTGCTGCTATCTGTTCTCTCCACTCTAAACTGCAAAAACGCATAGACTCCTGCTATCTCTGGGTAAATTGCTGCTATATGCTCTCCACTCTAAACTGTAACAACGCATAGACTCCTGCTATCTCTGGGTAAATTGCTGCTATCTGCTCTCTCCACTCTAAACTGCAACAACGCATAGACTCCTGTTAATTTCAGAACAAATAGTGTATATATATTTTTGTCTATGTTGATTAGTTCTCACCTCTTGCTGCACTCTTTTTATGACTGTGGCCTGTGTCTGGTCTGTGTTTGAGAAACATCCCCTTCTTTTTTTTTTTTTTTTTTTTTTCCAAGAAATTTTTATTGAGATATGAAAGGCATAACAAGACATAAACAAATACGGATCGCAGTCCGTGCAAGTCTTTAAGCATGTTCTCCCATAACGCAGACGGGTTCAGGACATATAAGTAAATCGTAGCACAATCTGAAATACAGTCCTAAGAGGAAGGCATAGCATATACCCATAGCAATGATGTTAGCAGTATGTAATATATAGAAAGACGGGGTACAAAAGTCCTTGTGTAGGGAGAACTAAAGAAACAGGACAGTGAGGTATATAACAATAGTCGTGTCAACTCAAGGCATATATGTCTTAGGATTCCGTACCTGAACATTATAGATTAGATTTGAGGAGTATTGTTACACCTGTGTGTCTGTAAGTACTCTGTACCTTATGAAAAAATATAGTTAGTTAGAATATGGTAAAGAGGTGAAACTGAGAGAAAGAAGAGATGGGAATGAGACGAGCAAGGGAATGGAGGAAGAGTATGAGGAAAAATATCATAGTGGGGCGAGGAGGGACATAGGGGACGAATACAGAGGAAGAGAGAGAGAGAGAGAGAGAGAAAAAAAAAAAAAAAGGGAAAAAAGGGGGAGGGGGGGGGGGAGGTGAATGGGGGAAGGATGAGTTATATAACTAAATAGGCATAACCAAACCAGACATATCAGTTAGCAGCTTCCAGGCTGAGATAGATTCAATCATTACTTAGAAATACAATTTCGTTAAAGTCCCGTAATGTAACTATTCCTGAGGTGAACGTTCTAGGGGTTTCCGTGTCACCAAATCTCCTCTCGCTCATTCCTTCATTAGACAATGATAAGTATCGGTAGTTTGGAAATGATTCCAACACGCCCAAGTCTTCCTGAATCTCTCGGGGTGTTCTTTTGCCACTGAAATCAGCTCCTCCATCTCTGCGATCCTGATGATCCTAAGAAACCACTCTCGCACGGTGGGAACGTATTCCGATCGCCAATGGATCGGAATACACTGTCTTGCCGCATTTATCATGTGTAAAGCAAGCGACCTACGATAAGTCCGCACAGAAAGTGAGGAATGATGAAGTAGACACTGTGCTGGGGTAAAGTCTAGGGTGTATGTAGTTACTTGTGTGATTATGTCCAAAACTTTTCTCCAGAAGGGTTGCAGCCGCGGGCAGTCCCACCAGATATGTAGAAGAGTACCTGTTGCCCGGGAACATCTCCAGCATAGATCTGAGGCGTTAGGATCAAATTTACGAACCACAGATGGAACTCTGTACCATCTGGAAAATAATTTATAATTGCCTTCTTGTGTAGAGACACAAATGGAGCCTTTATGCATATGATCGTAAATGTGGTCCCAGTCCTCTGGTGAGATTTGAAGTTGTAGGTCACGTTGCCAGGCTGAACAGGTCTTCCGCGAATGAGATGTGTTAGTACTTTCAAGGCAGGAATAGAGCTTAGATATAACATGCCGCTGGGGGATGTCCGTAAAGCAGAGCTTCTCAAATGCAGTAAGCGGTCTTGAATAGTCTTTTAGATGTGGGGAGTTACGTAAGAAATGGTGGATTTGTCTATACATCCATGGTGTTAGCGTAATGGATGGCCACGTCTTTGCAATGTCTTCTTTAGATAATAGGCTAGAATCTTTGAAGAATTGACCCACTGTAAGACTCTCATCACGGCCATACCCAGCGAGAAAGGTCGGAGAAATCCCTGGAATAAAGTCCGGATTCAATTTGATCGGAGTAAGAGGGCTCGGAAAGGAAGATAGTTCTTTTTTCTGGAACAACTGAGCACTACAGCATAGAGTGGGACCTATAGGTGGGTGTTCTCGAAACTCGGAAGGGACGTGAGAGGTTTTCAGCCACGGGGAAGTGGAGAGTGGTATCTTTGAACATCCCCTTCTATTCATGTGATCCTTATCCATTCCTAATTAGGGCGGGGAAGAGTGCTCATTTGACCATCTCCCTATAAATTTAGATCAGCTCATGGGAGGGGTGGTCACAGATGGGGGGGGCATAGTCACAGATGGGGTGCTGTTTTATGTGTGAGTGCTGTTTTTGATGGAGTGCTAAGAAGCAGTTGAACACAGCAGTTGAACTAAAGCAGGATAACGCAGGAAGATACAACAACAGCAAGAAACTCTACTGCATGCTGGACAGACTGCATGCAAACACCCTGGGAAACATCTCTTACAAGTCTGAGTCCCACTCCGTGTACCTTTTAATATGTCCCCTCTACTCCTTTTCATATTACTATTCTGTGTTCCCAACATCTCACTTCTTTACCCCTCTGCTGCACCCCAAAACTTGTACATCTCACCCTCACTGCTACCATCTCCCTACTACTGCTCTCATCACCTCCTGCTGATACTTCACTCACCTGCTGACCCAAACACCAGGACAGGAAGGCATGTGCACTCGTATACATCTCGCTCCCATCTTACTTTCCTCACTCTTCTTCTTCTCCTAACCTCTGGGCATATCTCCCCAAACCCTGGTCCTTCAGTATCTCACCCCCATACCAGGCATCCTCATTCTTCTGGGAATAGCCGCATTCCCCTCAATTTAATATCAGTCCCCGTGCTCCCAAAAACCACCCTCCCTTTTCATGTGCGCTCTGGAATACCCGCTCTTTCTGTAATAAGCTCACCCCTGTCCATGACCTTTTTGTCTCCCGCTCCCCTAACCTACTAGCAATTACAGAAACCTGGCTTCAAGCAGCAGATTTTTCTTCTCCTGCAGCACTTTCCTATGGAGGCCTCCTCTGGACCCACTCACCCAGACCCAGTGGTCGGAAAGGTGGTGGAGTTGGTTTGCTTCTATCCCCACTCAGCACCTTTCAAGTCCTCCCTAACCCGCCCTCTCTATCCTTCTCTTCTTTCGAGACTCACTGCATCTAGCTGTTTTCTCCCATTTCTCTG